TGAATTGTGCAATTCTTCACTTGTTTGATGAAATACGTTATGAACTCAATGCTATTGAAATTGATAAGAGTAAGAATGTTGGTATGACAACACTTATGAAGAATTTGGTATCGCAAACTCCAAGTCAAGCTGCTCCAATGGAAAATGCTGGTTGGGTACTTGAAGATGATGAATCTACGATCGTTGATGATAATGGTTATTTTGATATATCTATTCCATTGAGTATGATACTAGGATTCGCTGAAGACTATAGACGAATCATTGTGAATGCTAAGCATGAATTAGTCCTCACAAGAGGAAATACTGACGTGAATGCAATTATCCAGCAACCAGCTGTAGGAGTTGCAGCTGAGACATTTAAACTCTCTCTCGATAGGGTAGAGTGGATGATTCCTTATATCAAAGTAGCTGATTCTAAGAAAATTAATTTGTTGAATTACATCTCCAAGGATGCACCTATTCCAATTAGTTTCCGAGCTTGGGAATTATATGAGTATCCACTTTTACCAGCGACCTCTAAACATGTTTGGGTAGTGAAATGTTCAACACAACTGGAGAAACCTCGCTACGTCATTTTAGGATTTCAAGCTAATCGCAAAAATCAAGTTATAAAAAATGCTAGTCGTTTCGATCACTGCAATATTCGTGATATTAAACTCTTTCTCAATTCACAAAGTTACCCGTATGGTAATTTAAATCTTGATATCACTCATAATCAATATGCATTGCTTTATGACATGTATACCAGTTTTCAAAATTCTTACTATGGTAAAGAGGCTGAGCCGCTTTTGAGTAGAACTGGTTTTCTAACTTATGGCCCACTGATTGTTATTGATTGCTCAAAGCAGAATGAATATCTCAAATCTGGGCCTGTAGATATTCGCATCGAATTTGAGTCAGCCAATAATTTTCCAGCACAAACAGCGGCTTATTGTTTAATTCTACATGACCGTATAATTGAGTATAACCCAATTAGTGGAGGTGTCAAAAAATTAATTTAAGCATGTACAAATAGTATTGGTATTAATTTGTTTATCGTACAATATAAAAATTCTTAATATAAACACTTGACATTAAAGAACCCGTGTAATTTCCAAGCATATTCAATGTTTTTGTATCAGCCTTGGGCTTAACCAGTGATTTTGACTGTGGAATGGGAACAGAAGCCAGACGGAACGATGCTGAAGCTTCTTTCCGGTCATTTGGATGAGTGTTCCTGCAGACATTGAACTCATCACGTAATCGTTAATGAATGGTGCAAATTTCTTGATATCAATGCCGTAATTTGCAATGAATTTCTTAATTGCCTGTAGCGAAGATCCAGTTGGCTCAGCTAAAATCATAATCGCTGTTCTCACCATTTCAGCAGTACTTCTTGAATTGTTCTTCGATTTTTATATGATTGCTGTGTTTCTCTTTCACTTTGTTGCATCTCATTAAACAGTTTGTTTTTGTAATTTATTTTTTGATGCTTTACTTTGTGTGAATTCCCTATTTGGTTTGTTTAAATCGTTTTAGGTATTATTTGATGATTGGTTTGATGAAATATTGTAGTTATGAGACTACTGCAAACTCGATACAATGCTAGTTCATGTAATTGTAATTGATGTCGATCCTTTTTTCTCTTCCAAGCTGTCTACGACGTTCAACAAGTTTTAAGTTTCCCTGTAAATCCAGAAAATCTAGTAGAAAGTCCCACGCTGTTTGTGGTGGACAATCACCGTAATAATTGATGATAATTTCATCATATTGACAAACATAAGGTGGGGTGGTAGAGAGGAACGCAACTTCATCTGGACTCAAGTGAAGTTTATTTTGCGATGCACATCGATGATTCTTTATAAGGTCCAAATTTCCTTGCAAGTCGAGAAGAGTTTGCAAACAATCCCAAGCTTTCTGTGGCGGATTCTCACCATATTGTCTGATAACAACATCATCATAACCAACCAAAAATGGAGGGAGTGAACACAGGAACTTCACTTCGTCTGGACTCAATTGATCCATGATGACAACTAACAGCTATCCGTGAAAAATTGTTATTTTTATCGTGATGTGTGGGGAAGCGGGAAGAAGAAATTTTAGAACAGGTTTTCTAGAGTATACTTGACAATAATACACTCGAAACGTTTTGCTCTACTTTCTCCTACACCCGAACCATAAGAATATTCTAGAATTTCAACAAAACGTAGCATTAACGCTTGCATTAACTTCTACCTCCCACCCACTCCCCACAAACCTTCTAGAACATTCTATCCCGCGGGCTGAATCGTTTTGAAAACATCCTACCCCTTCCGACATCATCCTTTCGATTTTCCACACGTCAGCTCTTTTAGAAACTCTCAGGAAATGTTCTAGAACTTTGATCAGATGACGCAGTTTATGCAATTAATGCGATGTAACTATTCGAGTGATGACTCATCTCTGATGGACGCTATAAAAGAACTGATTTTTT